ACGCTGCCATATGCGCCAGGCAGGCAATTTATGGAAATTCAATTTCATAGTACACATATGCCGTGTACTCGCTGCCCTCGGCGGCGCCCAACCCGACCGCAGCCATCTCGGACGTCAGCGATGCATCGTCCTTGGTGACCCGTCCCCGCTTGTCCCTGCCAAACGCATTTCCGCCGAGGTATGAGTAAGCCGAGTCCAGCGCCGTCTTCACTTTCTTTGCTTGCTTCGGGGTCGTCTATTACTCAGAGTTAGCAATGGCATGCAGAATATATCAAATGTGACTTGGGTTCCTCTTGCCTTGACAAGCGCGCAAACAAACTCCAACGGCAGGCCGTATCTCAGGACCGTCTCGACGAACACCCGTAGCGTCATGACGTGGGTCAAGATCATGGCGGTTTCGCTCCAGCCTGTCCGGCCGAGCCTCAGCGCTTCGCCCCAGACCTTCTTCTCCTCCCGGGCAATACGGTCGAGTTCGCGTTGCTCCTCCTCCTTGCCCCCCTCGACGTACTTGTATTGCCGAGGCGTCCACTTTTGCTCCCGGCACTTTTGTAAAAACTCGGCGCTGGTCTTCTTGAAAGTGGTTACCGCGAAAAGCGTGAACTCGTCGTCCTGCGCCACCTGGACCGACGATCGTGGCACTACCATGGGAGCGAGGGTCTCGTAGCTGCGAAGAAAGTCTTTGCGCGCGTTTGTTGGTACCACGATGAGATGGGTCTCCAGGTACTCTGAGTCCTGTACTAGTAGGTTCGGGTTGACTATGGGCGTCAGTGATTTGGTCGCCAGGTTCCCTCTGTTGTATGTAGTATTAGCGCTTGTGCCCAAACTCATGGAACCTGGTTGTCGCTGAACTTACGTCTGCTTCCTCTGCAGCGCCGCCAGTGTGGTCTTGATCCCGTTGTACTGGTTGAACTTGGCTTTGACATCATTGTCGATATTTTGGAGCTCTTTTTGTAAGTTCCCAATCAGTTCCCCCAATGGTCGATCGGCCCGGTATCTGCTTTTATCCCACTGGAAATTGCGCAGGTAATGATCCGTGGGTTCTGCGGGCAGTTGTCAGACATGGTCGAAGACCGGATGACGGGCTTTGGGAACACAATGCTCACTGTCGTTGACCATTTTCTGTTCCGCCGTTTTATCTTCGTCACCATTCAGAATCCCCTTCAGCGAATCTGCCACCTTGCCGACCGCAGCTTCGCACGCGGCATTGAGCTTCGCGAGGTCATCTGCGTGTTGCACTAGAGCATCGAGGGTGCCAATCTTGAATGATGGTATCGTGAACGGTAAGGTCTCGCCATTGTCTCGCCCGACAGTGGCGGCCAATGCCGTTAGGGGATCATCATCGAATATTCTGAGAGGTAGGGAGACGAGGAGGTATTGCGTCGGCTGCATGGTTGGTTCTTGGCGGGGCTCTAGGTCGGCGGCACTTGAGGTTTGTTGCGCTCTAAGAATGGATCGTCTGTAGTCGGGCGGAAGTGCTGTTAGTACGGCTGCGTTCGTCCTATGGTGGACAACCCGTGGCTGGTGGTGCAGTATCAGACTGGAAGGTACCTAGGTAGGAGGGGTTGTTGTCGTCGTGGGTTGTGTTGGTATTCGGATCCGCTAACTACTCCGTCGAAGTGCAAAATGGAGACGGCTTCACCACCGAAAGTGATCTTCAAGACGGCTCAAAAGGACAGAATATGGCGGACAATGAGCTGCGTACGGTTGTGATGACAAGGGGAAGCCGCCGGTAGCTGTTGGTGTTGAGATGCGACATGGGTGGGGCCGCCTGAGCTTCAACCAAGGAAACGAACTGGGGTCGAAGGAATGACACGCAATATATGCAATACATGCAATACATCATGTACATACCGTACCGAAATTCCGGAATCCGGTATGTAACTTACATTACGCGCCTGATCGGCTTTGTATTCAGCTCTTCAGCTTCTCCCGAGCTGTAATGTCCGGTACCTGTCCTTCCTCGGTGGGTCGAGTACCTCGCCGCAGCTCTCTGACAATCCAGCGCCAACGGGATGCGCCAACATGCGCCAACAAATGGCCGACCCGACTGGTTAATCTCAACCCACGATAACCATTCTGCGGAGTTTCAACAGCATAGCTGAGCGATAATACCTTAGTTACTTACTGCCCTGTTGCAATTCGAGATATCAGTTATTATTTTTCTCGTTCGACCAAGCTCGAGACTCCTAGACCAATTCCGCACGCGACTGTGTCACCGCCTCCTCTCCCCGCCGTGCCTTGTGAGCGACCCGCAGATTTGTTGCACAGGAACAGCCAGAACACCACCTGCCTCGTCGCCCCGGCCGTTCCAGACAGGACACAGTTTTTGATTGTGGGGGTATCGACACTAATAGAACTAATACCTGCGGCGAGCCGGTTGCTTATTGCCGTCGCCGCCATTGAAGAATCCTTCCCGTGGTCTAAACGTCCCTGCCGCGGCGTCACGCCGCTTTGCCAAGTGGAGTCGGGCGCGATATCTCTTTCCTCCGTTTTTGTCCATCAGGCCGGATAGGTATCTCGCGGTCGGCAGCTTGCGCTCTGCCAAACTCGCTGTTGACGCCCATCGAACATGCGGTTTGCGCCATGATTGCAAGCCTGCCGCGACGCAGCAATCGGTCCACGACTTGGCTCTTTCGAACGGCGTCATACCCCACCAGCATTACTTACCGGCGACAACGCGTCGAGCATGTTCAATGGCAACGCCGCCAAGTAAGCCGCGACACGACGCCCGTCTCCCCTGTGCCTTGCCACTAATCGCTAACCTCGGCACTGCTACACAGTACCCCCTACAACAGACCGCTCTACAACTGTCTTGAGAGCGACACCCATGCCGCCTGTTTCCTCGCAACCCGGCCAGACGGCCGTGCCCACCCCGAGCGGCATGTCGACATCAGCAGCCGCATCAGGTATCGCTGTCGGTACCAGCATCTCCCCCTCCTCCGAACCGAATCTGCAGGACGCTTTGAATGGGGTCCACCGAGATGGCCGGATTCGCAACCCTGTGCCTAGTAAACTTAAGGGGAAGACCGATGGGTCCAAGGGCAACTTTGGCGTCATGCAAATAGAGGTTTCAGGGAGGACCGAGGCCACGGATCGCGATGCCGAGGCGAAGCGAACCAGCGAGAGCACCGAACTGGCCGCTAAGCGCGCCTTCGAGAACGGCTATGTCTCGTTACGACGAAGCCGGTTCGTACATCTTCCGGACGAGCTTGTAGCCAAGCCGTTCATTCCAACGTCAACACCGGCGCTCCCCCCTGTCCCAGCTCAACGCCACGCACCCTTAGGTCCCGAGGAGACCAAGTCGGAGCAGGCACGCTTGCTGACTCTCTTACGGAGTTTACATCCGGTGCTCGTCGTGGACCAGATATGTAAAGCACTCGCTTTCTTTGGAGGGATCCCCGGAGCACCGCCACCCGCAGCCGGCGGCTTTCCAGAGAGCGCAGAGGCAAATGGGCCGGGTAGTCTTTTCGTTGGCTGGGTTTCAGAGATATTCCCTCGACTGGGTGGGAACACGGCGCCCCAGCCGTTGGACCACACCCGTCAGCTTGACCATCCTCAGCCATTGAAGCGCAAGCGAGGCCGACCGAAGGGCAGCAAAGCCACCAAAGCGCGGAAAGACAAGGGAGTCAAGAAGGGCCCCAATAAGCCCTCTGCATCCGCCGATCGAGGCCACTCGTCCGGTCTTGCAGATGAGAGCTGGGTGGACGTTGACGAGAGTGGCGCAGAAGATGCCGACGATGTCGATGCGAATGTGATGCTCCTCGCGCAAGCCGCAAGCCCCCAACCACAGCTAGGGACTTCCCATCCCAACGCAGGGCCTGTCACGCCTAATCAAGCGCCCGGTGCCGCCAGAACAGCATTACCAGAGGCACCCGCCGCTAACGGCGTGGCAACCACCAGCACTCCCGGCACGAAGAAGAGGGGCCGCCCAAAGGGCTCGAGGAACCGACCTAAACACCCAGTTGTCACCTCCGCGCAAACTCCCGGAACAACATCTCAGGCGGGCGCCCAGCCTTCTCAGGGCCCTGAATATTCCTCGCAAGTCTTTCAGGCGCCTCAGGCAAATCAAACACCACAGACAACGCCGGGTCCAGCGGGGCCACAATCCTTCACAGCGGTGAACTCGGTATTGCCGGCGCCTACAAAAAAGAAGAATGGGCGAGCAAAAGGTATAGGACAAAAGCAACAGGGCCAGGGGCAAAACGAGCAGGTCCCGGCAGCACCAGAGCCACAACAAGGCACCGGTATTGAATCAACTAATCCTGTACCCCCCGCGCAAATGCATGCACCGAGCTATCAGGCGCCGCAGACTACCCAGTTCCCGCAGGCCCAGACTTCGGCGCTCCCCACGCCTCCCACTGCCACCCCAGTTCAAAGCAAGCCGTCCAAAAACTCAAGCCAGAAGCGGAAAAGGAAAGCAGACGGAAATGCCGAGATGCCCCGGCCCACTGTAGAAGACGGCGGGAGCGGTCCAGCGCCCTTGGCGGAGATGAACAATCAAGGGTTGCCCACCGTGCCGAACACGTCAGGGCCACCATTTCCGACCACTGCGCCCCAACCATCGCCCAAACGGCAAAGAAAGGGCAAGGAATCTCGGCAATCGGCGAGGAAGGCAAATGAGGTGACCGGAGAAGCGCCTATCTCTGAGAGTTCGAGTGCTAAGCCAGGGCCGGCTCCCCGGGCTGTCGTAACTCAGGAGCCTGAACCAGAATTGGTTGCTGCAGCTACAACTATAGAGCAACCCGTGCCGTCACTGCTTCAGCCCCACCAGTCTCGGTTTGTGGTGCAGTCGCCTGCAATAGAGAACTTCGAGGTACAGCTTGCTCAGTTCGACCAACAGGCCGAGACCGAGCCGCGGACACTGACCTCACAAAGCGCCGCAAACTCGGCGGCAGTGATGGCCAACCGGTTATCACAACAACATCCACGAAAATTCTCGCACCAACAGCACCAGCAGCAGCACCCGCGTGCTGATTCTGTCGGTCAGGGTCGGTCCCCAAATCCGCAACCGCAAGCACCCAAACCGCAAACCGTGAAGAGCCCACCCATCACACAACAGCAAGCGAGAACCTCTCAATCACACTATAGCCAATATCGCACTTCGGGCTCACAATTTCAGCAACAGAGGCAGCAACAGCAACAGCAACAGCAACAACAAAATCACACCTCTGCGCAAGCGGACCATTTACCACAACAGCCCCAGCAGCAGCAGCAGCACCAGTTTTCAGGAGGACAACAACAACATCATCGAAGCACCCAAGTTGCTTCGGCCCAACAGTATTCGGCAAGCACGTCGCAGCAGCAGTATGGTACGGACCAGCAGCAGCCATATTCGGACCAGCAATATCGTAAAAGTCTAGCCTCACAACAACGCTACCACCAGCAGCAACTGGCGGCCACTTCTTCAGCAGCCACAACTTCGTATACCACTCACCAACCGCAATTCAGCGCCCCAGCCAGCAACGATTTCAGCGCCTCCGATAGCGGCTACCGCAACTCGGCTACGGCTCTGAACAATCCTTCATACACCCAACGAAGCAACCAGCCCACCACCACTGCCACCTTCCGTTCCACCAACACCCACAACGGCCTGCCACAACACTCCCCATCCTTCACCACCCCCAACACCGGCCTGCAGCAGCAGCAACAGCAGCAACAGCAGCAACAACGCTCCGCCAGCACAACGCAGCAGCCCACATCGCAGAGCATGCAGAGCCTCGCCAACGTGCAGTCCTTCTCCGGGAACGCGGCAGCAGCTGCTACTGCCGACTGGAACCTGTTCGACGCCAGCCACCTGGACACGACGGCCGGCCAGCCGGGCGCGATGGCTGCGCTGGGCGGTGCCGGCTACGGCATCAATGCCGGTGGTGGCGGCGGTGGTGGTGGCGGTGGTGGTGGTGGTGGTGTACGAGGGCCCGCCTCTAATAATGGCGCCGCGGCGGCGGCGGCTGCGGCGGCGGCGTTTGCGTCGACGGGGCTGGCTACGTTTGATGCGGCTGGGTTGGGGGGGAGCGGTGGGGAGCGGTATTATGGCGTGGGGAGGCGGTGATGGGGAGGGGGGCGGATGGGTTATAAGGCCGTGTTTGGGTGAGTGGTTGGGTGGTTGGGAGAAGGTTGGCGGCGTCTTTTCTCTCATAATCACAGATTCATTGTTAAAAAAGTTTACCTTGGGCATTTCTGGTATAAAAACATTTGGAGCTTTGGGGGGGTGTGGGTTGGGGATGGGGTTAAGGATCATTCATGGTGGGGGAAGGGCTGCGTGGCTGCATTGGACCTGAGGTCATGTTTCCAATACCTTGTGCTTTTCTTATCCAATTCTTGGATTAAGGTCTGCCTTTTTTGGTTGTGTCTTGTATGTGTTCCCCCGCCGCGGTCTTCTGTTTGGACGGAAGGCTGGCGGTTAGGGAAAACGTAACTGACGGAGGTTATCTGATGAATCATTGACAATATTCGTACTCGGTGTGGCGAACCAGGAGTGTGGCAGCATGTTGGCGTATAACTTTGTCCAGGGAGCCAGCCAGTGAGAGCGGCCGGTACCCATGAATGAATAAATGCTTGGAACTTATGTACATTGAGGATGATGAACAGAAACGGCGCCACGTTCGGAGAGATTACAACAGCACATCCAAGAAGTTGCGAGGCTCATGCATGATGTGATATCAGGACAACGACTACTACTTCCAACAAAGGTGCAAGGAAACCAGTCGATTCAGATGCTACTCTTTATCATGGATCTCCAACTAACCTCCCCACCCATGACCGAGAAGCTGTTCCCCCTCTGTGGTCGCTCCATCGACCCTAGACCGGGTATCATGAATGACTCTCTCTCCCACCGCAGGCATGCCATGCGTCAACCCCGCCCAGTTGCATGGCGAAAAAAAAGATAACAATGATAGGCATCTGACCTATGAATACATTCGCTATGAAACACAAGCAAAGACAAGGCGTACACCCCCGGCTGGGTGGCCTGACAGAATACAGCGAAGGAAAAGGAAACGGTAACCCAATATACACCTGGCTTGCCATGCTGATCTCTGATCCGAGATATCCGCACATCTCGGAAACAATAACAAGATAGAAAGCCCGAACGCCTGTAAATGCCTTTTGTTTCCCAGAAAAATTGAAACTCGACATAGTAAAGAAGGGATTTGATGCCGGTCGGCTGTCGTATCTTCGTGACAGCCTAGGATTCGGTAAAGATGGTGGTCGACAGTTTGTCGATGGAAAAAAGGTGGGTGGGACACGACCCTCGAACGTGCCGCCCAGCCCAGTAGAGGGCTAATAAAAGTGTGTGTAGAAGTATGGTTGTGTGTGACGAGAGGTTAGGGGCATCCCATGGGCTCTTCCTCGATCGCGTCGAGGTTCGGTCGTACCGACTCGGATGCGGTAGTGCCGTAAAGCCACTGGTCCTCGTCCTCAGCGATGTTCTCGCTGATCAAGTCGGTAAATATTTGAGCATTGCGGCGGATATCGCTCGGTCGTTGGACAATCTTGCGGTCCAAGATCATTGCCTCGGCTGTTTCCGACCAAATCTTCCGGAGCCCGGGCAGATCGGACAGGAGCGACTTGTACTCGTCCTTGCTCAAGTTCCCCATAGGCATGCCGGCGGCTAAGCTGGTGCAGAACACCAAGCTCTCCGGTCGTTTGCCTTCGGCAACGCTCGAGGTGCCCGAATTCCGAGATGACGGTGCAGCGTCATTCGAGTTTGTTTTGGTCAAGGTGAGCGATGACTTTTTCCGCTTCAGGCCCAGCATCCCCCGGCGCTTCTTCCCTTCTGGTGGTTCGGCAGGCTCCTTGGCGATGGACGCATACCAAGCATCGACGGCGGCGCGGCGCGCGTTGTATGTTTTGACCTCCCAGATCTTTTCCACTTCCCGGAGACCACCAAGACAAAGAATCGCGACATGTACCTCCTCTGGAGGTTTGTCTCTGAGGTATCCCCTCAAGGATCGCTCCACCCGGCCGACATACGAAGGCGGCCGAAGACGTCTGTCGAAAGATGCCATTATCAGGGGAAAGATTTCGTGGACTTGGTACAGCGTTCGGTCATCGTACATGTTGAGAATTTCGGTCTCGACGGGGTTGACTGTGTAGGGGGTTTGGTGCAGCCCGTAACCGTGCTCGGCGATGTATTTGAGGTGCAATTTCCGGTACGTTTCGAAGAAGTGGAAGGTGGTGAAGACCATCGGTATCAAACGCCGTCGCATTCGTTCCCTTTGTGGTGCGAATTCCCGCTTCTTCTCCTCCGTATTCCTGAAGAACATCTCTTTAGACACCCACTCGCATATCAAATACGACAACTTCGCGGCGACGTGTAACCGATGCCAGATACCGCATAGATAATGGAAATTCAGGGGCACGCCCTCGGGTGCCGGGTAAAGGCGCTTGGCGTATGCGGGCACATGGTGGTCGAGATGATAGCGGGTGATGGGCGTCTCGTTCAGCGACACAAGGGCGTGTAGGGATCTGGATGCCAGCCGTAAATTCAACACGTCGGAGAGCGGGAGCGACGCAATGATCTCGATTTGTAGTTCATTCGGAAGGGCAACAAAGAGCTGATCGAAAGCGGCGCTACGGGATGATAGCGTTCGTTAGTCACAGCGGACGGGAGGGGATATTCAATGGCTTTGCGACTTACGTTTTCCGGGCGCTCGTGGAATGTATCGACGAGGGCCGTTGCTCCTGGAGCTCGGTATTGCTCGCGGTTGCCGCCGGGGAATTCTTGCTGTGAAACTTGGACCTGAGAAACCCGAATGCCTTCTTCTTTTGATCCCCAGATTTGTTTGCTGGCCCCTCTACTTCGGACGGTACTGCTCCCCGAAGGGGTAATATGAACTGTGATTGTGGGAGTCCAGCCGCGGGAGCTGTTGGCGCGGCGGGATTTGCCTGCGACTGGTGGAACTTCTCCAGGTACCGGTCGGACCCGAATTCAGTAATGTGTGCAGGCTCCATCTTTGCTGGCTGGGAACCGGCTAGATAGCCGGTGAGCCAGGGACAAGACAAGCACCTCAATCGAGTACAATGCGCATGCAAGGGTGCGCAACGGGCCTCGCCCAGCTTTACCGGAAGTGAGTCGCCGAGAAAGACTGAGTCGAACTATTCGCAGCAGAAAATAGTCGCGGCTCGATCATGGTGGGAGCATCTGTCTTCGCGGGTGATGTCGGCCGGAACAGATCCGGGGAACTCGTTCGGGCGGCGATTGCGGAAGGTCGGGAGGGGAGGCAAGCGGTGCTCGGGCTGCCGACTTGATCGACCGCGAAGTTCTCAGAAGGGCTCGCGGAAAAGAGAACGGCGGCGAAAGATGGCGCGCGAGTATCTCCTCTCGTCGGCCTTGGTGCAAAGGAAATGGTCGAGGGAAATTCTCGTCAAAAAGGCGCGGGGACAACGAGTGACTGAAGTGGGTGTGGGACGATGAGCGGGTTCCGCGAGTCGTGCGCGGGCGGGCAACTCGGGCGGGATGGGATGATTGAACGAGGGTGGATAGTTGTCGTCGAGAGAAAGGCAAATTCAATCGGTGGCGGCGCCGTCGGGGCACGAATTCGAGAATCACAGAAGCGGCGCCTTTGGGATCGATCGATGCTACGAATGCACGATGTCGGAAGAAGGGACCTGTCGAGAAGTCGGCAACGACAGACAGGAAACCAGGACGGGGACTGTACGGAGAACTGATCGCTGGCCCTGTTTTGGAAGGGTGGGGGGTGCGGACAGGGAGCACACGAGGAGAAGAGAGACGAGAGTGGACACGCCCGGCAAGGGCCGAATTCGACAGAAACCTTGAAGAATGACCCCCAAATCCAGCCAGTGGTGCGCCGGGAGAAAGTGATAAACGGCTCTAGAACCGCGCTGGATGACCGCAATGGGGCCGGTCGGGGGAACGTGAGTGGTGAAGGTTTGGCACTTCTCTCTCCCACTGGCAGCTTGAAAGGCGACGGGCTCGACGGGCGACTGACGGGATGGCGCATCCATGATGGGCCACGGCGGTTTGGCCGGCGTAATAGTGGAGAGACGCTGGAGCTGGGCCACAGCCCAGGCGAAATGGGAGCACACACCTGGAGCAAGTACGGCAAGGCGGGTCACGGCGTGCGAGTGGAGTACCTAGCGTTTGTGGGGTAAATTGCGGAGGACACCTGGTATCCTACTATCACTCCCTCCCGCATATGCGAGACGGGGAATGTCACTCAGGACCCTGAGCGACTGCTCCCGTTTCAATGAGCGTGTCCCAATCGGGCCTGTTCAGTGCTTGTTTTCCGGCTGGGGGAGAGTGCGGGCTGCCGAGCATATCGGGGGTACGAAATACATGTTGGAGATTGATAGATCGGGCTTTCTTCGGTCAAAGTAAACCGTGCTGAGCTACGCTATCGGGACCAGAAACAACGAATCGCCCTAACACTACGGATCGTTCCCGAGTTGCACAACCCCGTGCCAGTTGTCTTGGCTGCAGCTTCATGGGCACGTCGTAATTTAGCCGCAGCCAATGGAAGAATGTTAAAATCACCGAGCGTTGGGTGCATTTCACCGTCCGTCCTTCAGCAGGGGAAAGATCCGTTTTCCAAACCACGACGACGGTCCCTTCCGTGGGGTGACACAACAGTGGTAAAGTGAGCCGCCGACGCCTAAGGTACCCAGCACCAGCGCCATAACAGGATCAGCTTTGAATAGGGACAAACGCAGCTTATCGAGTATTGGCCTCAGAGCTGCACGGACGACCATGGTGTATGGTGTGGCCATTCTTATCACCTTGCTAACATTGAAAAACAAGGCTGAGCACTCTTCATCCGATTTTTGAATTCAGATCTCGAACTGCTCCAGTGACTAATGTCTTTCCCCTCCCAAGCCCTTCGGCTTTTTTTGGTCTTCCCTTGACATTCCAACAGCCAGTCAGTGCGGGTGCCAATCAGCGCGGTGAGCATTTTTGTTGGTTTCGTGGCCGCCGATCTTTCCCTCTCTGTTTCATGGCGCTTGGTGATGCTCACGCCTTGCTCTGGGGGTGCCTTCGAGTCATGTTATCTCTCTGGATGGCGGGATCAAGCGAGAGAAGACGCAACCGAGCCGAAACTGGACCGTTCTCGTGAGGAGAAGGGCTGGCTCTTCTCGGCAGTTGGTATATTAACCCAGGACCATGAAATAGTCCCGTCCCTCCATCCTTAAAGGGGCGGGTTGCTCGCCGAGAAGCCCAGTTCTAAAATAGCGCACAAATTCGCCGCTGGGCGCTTCTCAGTTACCAGGGGATGTGAGAGGCATTTATGTCGATGATGTTTTCGGTCCGAGGACGAAGTTCTCGAATCTCATGACGGATAGTCAAGCCCACGAGGGCACAAGCTTCCTTGTGCCTCGGGCCGCTCTCGAGGGGGGGTCCTTCGTGGCGGGACCGTTTTGCTCGGTGCAATTTAGCCGCGTGCTGGGAATTGGGCTTCTTGCGGCCCTTCTCCGGCCGTTCTTTGTTCCCTTCAGGCCGTTTTGGGGACCTGGTTTTGGTGATTGGGCGGGGCCGACCACCGGTCCGTGAGGCACGCCGTGGAGATCAGTCACTCCCGCCGGGTCCCGAAATCACGGGCTCGGCCGCCTCTCGGTCGTGGAGTTGTTCAAAAACCGCCCCCCTCCTCGGGTCGGGCCCCCGCAATCGTTATTCTTGCCGTGCTCCCTGGCGCTCCCGCGTTCTCTCCACCGATCCAGCCGATGTATCGCCGTGCAGATCCCGGGGAGGATCAGCATGGCGGGCGGGGAGACGCCGAACGAATCAAGCATACCTTGCTATCGGAAGCGGCCTGATCTCGAAATGTGTTGACCAGTGACCCTGGCTGCCGTTCTTGGTGTTTTTACCGGTCCATCCGAAAGATATGCCGTTACCCACAGGACAACCTACAGCAACCAAGCTGGTATCCGCTCAATCATTACCTAGTCTTTCCGCTTTCGTTAGCCCCGATCTACGCAAGATTCAATCGCTGAATATGGTTACCATGGGTGGTAGTCTCATGAAATGAGGAGATGGGCCAGGCAAGCAATGAACCAGCCCGGAAGAACGCGACTGACAGCCGCTGACATGATCGTCCACAAGAGAATCGCGACCCATGGCCAAAATTGGACGAAAGCGGATGTCAAGTCACAACCATGCCGCCAGAGAATCCAGGGCGCATGTTCGGGCTCTGTGTCTGAGAAAAGACTCTCAAACGCGCCGTGCAATGCAATACTGGCATTCCAGCGTTATCGATATCGAGTTGGAATTTTGCATCATCCAACCCGATGGATGCCGAAACGCCCAGGTGCCAAGCATCTGCTTTCGACCTCATAAAACCCTATTTTTGGCAACAGCATTGAAGGCGTTCGTGCATGTGGAGCGCCCCTCGTCACGTTTCCCCCACTCACAAGGCAGAGAGAAGGAATTTGAGATCGAAGCGATAACATGACGTCCATCTCCGGACATCCAACTCACCAACACTACAATCGTGCAACGTCTCGATGGATGGTCGCTCGCTAATTCTAACCATCTGCATGCAGGTAGTTAGTTACCTACCTCCACAAAAATAACTATAATGCCCTCTAATCGCGGCTGGAAATGCCAGGCTCACTTAACTCATTATTGCGTTGCATCCAGGTCGCCGATCGAGTCGGGGCGCAGGCGAGGTCGGCAGCCAAGACATGGAACCGAATCGAGGGCTCCCAATCGTTTCGTGCCCTCGGTGGTGCCCTTGCTCCCCTCTCGCATTGTTCATACCGCCCGTCGTAAGCTTTGTCCCCTTAGTTACTCCCATGCGCCAGTCACAGGCGTCAAACCGCATGCTTTCCGGGCTGGTCCACCCTCCCGGATCGGATGGCAACGTTCGGGCAAGTCCCAGGAGTCGCCGCGCCCAGGGTCCCCGCGGTTTGTTTGTGAGCAAAAAGAACCCGGAAGAAGTGCGATCATCATCGCGGGGTTGTTTAGCCCTTTCTCTCTCTAACATCCTACCTAACTCCCTACTATGTTATTATTCACTGCTTCAAGTTCGCTCTCATCTTGTTCAACAACCTGGTAAATGGGATGCGTTCTTAATTTCCAGAACGTGGTCATTGTCTCTTGAGCCCTAGGGTCTGGCTCTTCCCTTTCTGAAAATACTTTTGTGCCTCCCCCGCTTCCGCGTCGCCCATCTCAATTATTGTCGTCTTGAAGCCCATCCAAGGGCTGTTATCTCCCAGACTGTTGCTCCCCCGGGTCGGTCCTTTCCCCAGTCAAAGTACCGGGGTCTCAATGTCCCTCGCAGCGGGACAGGCCTGTGTTTCATATTAGCCTACACCCGGGCGTCCACTTCCTCGGCGACTGTCACCCCTCGCAGAGCATTACCTTGTCTGCGGCTGGCTACAAGGCTGCATGCCTAGGTGGCTTTGTTCCTCTCACTCGGCGCGACGACTAGCTAGTTGGTTTGGCTCTCTGCCCGCTCGGTCGTGTTTCAACCGACCGAACCCTCGGGCTTCCCTGCTTTCAAACTGGTTTCACCACCCGTCCCAGTAAGATCAAACGGGAAGGGTAGCAGGAGGGCAAACTACCTGGCCACTACGAAGTACATCACATTCTCCAATACTGACTCATAGCCGTCACATCGACACTACCATTATACACTCACACACGACCAATCCCCCAGTGCGAACACAGCTGGACCATCCACTAGGTCTAGCCACCCAACCCGTTTCCCCCCTTCCCTGGCGCCGCCACTTCAGCACTTGGGTCTACTGACCCTCGCCCTGGCAAGCCATGGCAATCACAGGCAAGCAGTCTCCTGCGCCTGAGCCGTCCGAGCCTCTGGACGTGGTCGAAACACCAACCTCGCCATCCTCGAGCATCGCCCGCTCGCGCTTTGAGTTCGAGACCGACAAGCGCAATGAGGGCACCAAGATCCTCATGGTCGAATGGGACGATCCGGGTCCGGGGCATGGGGACGCTTCCGGGACGGGGAGCGGGAGGAACGACTGGGAGGTATCGTGGGAAGGCAAGGGGGCAGTCCTCCCGGTCTGGGATGCCGGCTCCGAAATCGACGACAACATACACCGCGTGTACTTCCTTCTCCCACCGGGGTCTCCCGTCCCATCACTTATCGACATCACACGCCGGGGCGCGAGCCGCGGAGCCAAGGACGGGACCGGCGACATCCTCAGGACGACACCCATGCCCGCCATCTTCCCCGCCGGGCTGACGAGCAAACAGGACGCCGGCCTGCGCGGCGTGCTCCACACGATATGGGCCAAGCGGCGCCTGGCCGAGCTGCAGGCCGAGATCACGGCCGAGATGAAAGCCAACGGCGAGAGTGTGGGGCTCGAGATGGCCATGCAGGAGCGGCAGTGGATCGTCGACCACTTCGGCCTTGCCCCCCACCCGGCCCTGCCCCAGCCGACAAAGCTCCATATCCCGCAGAGCTCGGCCGGCCCGGCAAGCCCAAGGAGTCCGTTGGGTGGGAGACTAGGCGAGAAGCTCAGGGGGCTGAAGCTCGCGACCAGCCCCGCAGAACTAGCCGCTGCTAGTCAAGGTATGTTGCGTGCTACATCTCCTTATCCTCGTTGCACCGGTTTAGAAGGGGTTGGAGTGAGACACATGTGAGAAGTGGAGAGGACGGCGCGAGCCTGTCACTAACTGCCCCAATAGCGGCGAAGAGCGCCGAGGCGCCACGAGTGCAGCATCTGATCACGTCGGTCGCTCCGTCGGCCGCAGCACCAGGTTCAAGCGGCGGGGGCGTCGCTTCGCTAGATGCTATTGTAGGGGGCGGGGCAACACCAGCCGCCGCGGTGGGCAAGGTTGGAGGGGGGGATGACGCAACGGAGGAGGACCTATTCGCCCTCCCAATGAGCCCGCGTAGCCCGGAGATGAAGCGCAGCCCGTTTAGTATCCTATAGATGCGGATAATGTATACCCGTGGTTACTGGGGGCTGTCACCGGCGCCTGGGCCCACCCACATATTCCTTAGAATACAGGTGCCGCGCGAGCTGGCTATGATGAAGGGGTTTTGAAGATTTGAGGGGGCTAATGGATGGAGAGCCCGAGGTGCGCGCGGCACCCTCGGCTAGGGGACGGGGGCGAGCAACCTTGACTGTATTCTCTTTGATATACATACAACGGTGGGCACCACATAATAAATGTGAATTGTTAGTACTCACATTCACTGGTCTAAACTTGCACCCAAGACTTGTCTTGCAGGGTGTTGCCTCCCCAACATCCAACATACCGTCACTTCATTGCCATTCCCACATGATATATCACACCACCAACCTCCCATCTGGCTAGGTACCTAGTTACAGTCCCTTTCTCTCACCCACAACCCAGCCCGACACCACCAGCCCAACAAACAAAACCCTCCCCTTATCTCCCGACCTAATCCAGTCCAAAACCCACCGTTTATCCACCCGTTCCTCACCTCCACCCCCCAACCCTCCCCTCATCCCACCTCTCCCTCCTCTCCCACCTCAAATAATACAACTTCCTCACCTCCCTATACCTCCTCACCCACTCCGCAACCTCCCTCTCCGACGCCAACCCCCCCTCCCCCCCACCAATGCATGGTTATGGAAACACACGGGCAGGAAGAAGTAAATATTGGGTAGCTGAGGTGGGTGTTGCGGCGGAAGGGATTGTAAGGGCAGGGAGAGCTTTTTATCGATTGTTTACGAGGATGAGCACGAGTCAGGGGATTTTCTTCCCCATGCAGTTGGCGTTATTTCTACGTCACCAACGCGCGGGGCCGGAGGCTATCCTCATCTATCCCCTTTGTTGGGGTCGGTGGCCTGTAAGAAAGACTTATCTGGATGCATGGATAACATACCCACCGAGAAATCTCTCCTGTGCTAGTGTACTCGCCATACTGGCAGAAACAGAAAAATCATCAACCAGGACCGCATAAAACTGCCCCCAAGTCAAACAGCCTAAGATCAAAAAACGAAAGATAGAAGTTAGAC